ACCTCCAAAATCTAGCTCTTTGTCAAAAGAGTTAGCAGGAAAAGAGAAGTTTCCCAGTTATCATGAGGAATGTGAAACGAGCAACCTTTCAGAGCAACCTTCACTTATTACCCATGTCATTTTGACTCTAAGTAATCTGACACCATTCATAGAAATGGTGCAAGATAGGGACTTCAGCTTTTTTTCTATTAATCTTAAATGTTAATTCCCAATGTGGGAAAATTTTTAGGTGGAAGGGGTAGAAACAAAAAAGAAAATTTTGATTGTTTGTGCATAAAACGTATGTGACTTTGTATTTTAACCACTATACACAGAAAGAGAAAATAGTTGGGCATCCCCATGAGAACCTGTAAATAAAAGTGTTATTCTTAATTACTTTATATCCTTTTACTACTTATACAAGAAATAAAGTAGAAAAATTATGGAAGCAGTCTGGGAATCTTCTCCCAGCTTATGTTTGAAGCGTGGTAACACATTTACACTGTCTGTTTGCATGAAGCAAAATTGCATATTTTGGGATGAGGTTCAAGAAAATTGGAAACACCCTAGAAACGTGAGGCTTTAAGATTTCATTTTCATCACCATACTTAGCCTGTATACATAAGTTCCAAATCTGGAAAGTTGAAAATGTCTTATAAAAGGGGAGGGGAAATTGCATGAATAGAGTAGAATTAGAATGGAGTGCATGGTTAGCTCACGCTGATGGCTTCATGCAACAATCCAAAATAAGACATTGGAAATGGATCAGCAAGCTGCATTACCCGAGATCACACTGCCTGTGGCGGCAAGACTCTGTAATAATACACAGATGATTAGGAAATCTTTTGTCAGGCTATCTTTTCTAAATATTTAAAGCTCATATTTTATAACACATGTTCATAATATTTAGGCAAAAACAAAATTAAAGAATAATAAAGCAATTAAAAAACAAAGTGAATGAAAGCCAGATTCTCTTATGAAAGGGAAATTAAATCCATATTCCTCCTATGTCCAGACCTTAAATACCTCAGAGTAGTCCGAATGCAATGCAAAAAGGGAATTACGTATACAGTGTTTGATTGGAGAGTAAGTTATAGGGAATTCCAAAGAAATAAAACAGAGATGATCCAACCAAGAAATTAAAGTGGACACATATCAAGATTTAAGTTTGATTTTGCAAATAGAAGCCCACATTTCTGCCACACTATTTCCTTGTATAATTAATTATGTCCAATATTCTTGTACTATTAAGTTCTTATTGGGTATATCTGTGTGTGTATAGTTTTAATATAACATTTGTTCTTATCAGCATCTGGCTTCCTACCTCTCAGACTGCTGCATTAACCCATCCATGTAACCCAAGACCCTTAGTTTAGGAATTCAGGAGGGCTGAGAAAGGTGACACTGCAGGGCTCTTCATTCCAGCCACATTGGCTTGAGAGTCAAAGTAGCCCTGGAGAAGCCGCATTTATTGCCCCAGTGTTTGTCCTACAGGGAAACCTCCCAGAAGCTGTCAATGTGTAAAAACAGATCACTACAGGAAAGCAGGAGAGAAGGAAGAAATGGCCTTTCTTTCAAGGAATGTGGAATGTCATTTTTTGAAGGTCATGATTTAGAAGCTTATAATTCTGTGGGTGGATGATGCCAAAATTCAACTCTCTGTCTTATTCCCCATGCTTTCTCCACCCAGCTTAAGATAAACCAGCCTCTGCCTTCCCAGGGATTTAGAACCTTTCTAATGGGACTTCTCTCACTCTGAATAGCAGTGATTAATTACTGGCTTGCTTTTTAAATCTCTTCTGTTTAATTACACTCCTCTAGGAGTATTTGGAATAATTCCCCCTAGTTTCTGAAGCAGATCAGAATGTTGCCTTGTTTCTTTTCCTGGCTTACTCATGCACACAGATAGATATGTAATAAGTATTGATTAAGGTTCTCTATTAGGCCGTGTTTTTATCAGTTAGTTTAATAGGCATGAGTGAGAGACAAAGCATAATCCCTACCCTGG